TATATATATATATATATATATATATATATATATATATATATATATATATATATATATATATATATTTGCATTTTAAATTTGAAGTATAACTATATATCAGACCTAATGTTTTCTTCAATAAAATAAGTTGTTACACTAACATTAAAATCCTAATGTAATTTATATAATATATTGTATATGTAGTGATATGTAATGTTACATTCCGCTTGTTTTTTGCAAAGTAATATTTTTAAGCTATACATTATCAGTCTTCCTATCGTAATGAAAACAATAAATTTCATGTAACGGAAGAACTATTACAATACCAATGTGTTTTAATATATGATTGATCATATTATACAAGAAATTAAATAAAAAAACTTATGAAAATAAAATAAATATTATGAACATAATATTTGTATTATTAAATACAAGTCTATTTTAGAGGAAATTATTGTAGATAAAATTGTGATACACTATTTTTTTAATAATTACTGTGTAAAGGATTGAAATTTAAAGAGAAATGGATTGATCAATCTAGTTTACAATATCAATAACGATAGTTAAATCTGTTCACATTCGGTATTGATTTTATTGAAAATTCTTGAAATGACTAGCATGTGCTAAAGATACAAACCATAAGTTCTACATACAAATACTGGAAGTAAGATGAATCAACATTATTTGTGTACATGCTAATAACAATGACTAGTATTACACAAAACATTGCAATAGACCAAACAGGAACATTGAATTTTTCTATCTAACACATGATGTTCTAAAGCTTTTTTGTGGTCACTATATTTTACTACAAATTTTGGTATACAGACTACCCCAAATTTATGAGGACTCTTGGAAATAACAGAAAACGAGTCTGCAACAAGAAGTTTCATAAAGAATTTTGTTTCTGATACATTTTCACTAATATTTTATACTAACAATATCAACTAGCAAAAATTCCTTTTATGGAAGCTTGTACTTTAGGAAGCTCTTCGACTTTTCTAATTACTTTCTTTCTTTGAATTTCACCCTGATTCTATCAATGCCGAAAAGTACTTTAATTTTTTAGTCGTGTGCTTATTTCGTACCAAGGTAACTAATACATTTCTCTCACGCCCGATGACTCACACGTAACTGAAATTGTTAGATTGGGAACATTAAATAATGTTCACATTAGAACGTGCTTCCGAATCTTATCCTAATGAAAAATTTGAATGTTTTGATAATATCCCAATGCATCACAAGTCCAGTTGCTTTAACTGTTCGTAGGTAATGAAAAATATAATATTCCATGGTCCCATTCTGAACCACGTTGGGATGAAACCTTTGTACAGTGCTAAAATTCCTTCGTTCTTAATAGTCTGCATAAAAGAGGAATCATTATTTTTTAAGTAGATAGATTTAAGCAGATTTTAAGAGATTTTAAAAATACATATAGAAGTTAAGAAAAGTTTTATACCTGAAGTAAACAGTCTATACTGCCACTGTAAATGTATGACGGAAGTTTGCCGACGATATGCACTCTCCTCTGATTCATTAGTCGTGTCTAAAGAAAGAAAATTAGAGAAATAATTATGCTGCAAGCTATAAAAATAAAACGATCTACTTACACGAATCACATCCAGAGGTGTTGAAGCTACAGCACTTCCCATACTAGCTATAAAACTCGATCTGAAAAATTACAATTGAAGTCAAGCACACTTACAGTTTATGTTGTATGATATAAACTTAAATCTAAATGTCACATTTTGAATTAGATCTTATACTATATTTTTATTATAAACTATGTGATCTTTTCTAGTATTGATATTCACATCGTTTTTAAATTTTAAACTGTAATATCAGGAAAATAAATATTACGGATCAAAATTAACCCTTATCCAGGCAGTTGTAAAGAGTCACAAATATATAATATGCCTATGATGACAGTTAATATCTTGACAGAGCAGAGAAATACATTTCTAAGTATAAATCAAAAGCGGAAATGGAACCAAGCATTTATCTACAGTAAAAAAAAAAAAAGAAAAAAAAGAAAAAATGAAAGAAGTAAGAAAACACACGGTTAGTAATCTATCGGAATTCTCAAAGCTCTAAGACGCATAAGTGCTAACCAAAAAGCCATTGCGAGGTAGATTAACATGTTTAATCATCTGGACGATTGTCTTAACGATTCTTGTATTAAACACAGAGTGCTGAACACAGCTTCCGTGTCAAGCCTCTCTGGTCTCATCTCAAAATCCGTCTGTGGCCATATGTATGACAATGTCAAAGGACCTGGAAATAAAATGTTACAATTTTAGGAGAGTCTTACTCCTTTCTCTCTCTTGCAATAACGGACAATACACGGGATATTTCAGAGATCACGTAATTCTCGGAATCACAGATAGGAAGTCTAGTCGAGCAAACTGGCGGCTATCTCAGGATCGAAATATAAGAAAAAAACTTCTGAATCGCAAAAGGCTTTGAAATTAAGTCGACCAGGTTAATCATAAATGATTTCGAGACGGCTGGATTAGTGCAGAAAGATTATAAATAACTGTCTTTTCATTCTCTTTCTCCAGTTAAATTTAAATGCACTTTAATCATTTCGCTTGGCGTTTGATGAATAGCGTGCATTTTTCTATATGCGTCTATTTCATATACATTAATCACAGGGACATTCTCTATATATACGACAGCAATTTATAATTAATTAATAACATTTCACAATGAAATAAAAATAGTTCAGTAAGTTGTAAAATTGTATGTACATATTTTGCGCTGTGAATTGACGATTTTGTTATGCGAAATGAGCCTCAGTAGCCCGGATAAGGGTTAATTGACACTGATAATTAATAATATAATAAACAAAACACACAATAAATATAAACGTAATGTGAACGATATATTGACGAAACCTTTGGTTCTGTAAATAATGTAATAATAAAGTTAAGTGATGATAGTTCTCGTTAGCAGATACACTTGAATTTTGGATTTAACAAATGTGTTTCCGTATAAAAGATCATTTCTCTACTAATGAAAGAAACTTACACAAAATGATTACTAACGCTATCTCCCAATATATTCATACATCTACTCTTGGTATAGTCATATATAGGTAATTCTACAGCTGCAATAACAGCTGCTCGTTGAGCAGTAGGTCCAACACCCTGGATAAAAAATTACATATATATACACATATATATACATAGATATATATGCATGCTTCTGTAAAAAATGTGACTGTAACATAAAAGCTCTTCTTATGGTTAGATAATATTACTTAGTTACAAATTAGTCACTGGGTGAAGAAATTATAAATTTTGAAATGTAACTTAAAAATTGTTAATATGTTGCGATATTTAAGTGATTAATGTCTCGTCTTTGTTTAGTTTCTATTATTTTCATTTTAAAATATGATAGTTCAAGCAATTTATGAATATAATAACTATGAAATGACATGTAATGATAAGAAGCATTCATTACCCTCCAAAGCCCACGAATACCTTCGTGTTTATACACATCTTTAAAGCAGGTAAATAGTGACATGTTTGTTTCGTTGCCAGTAACTTGCAAACGAACTTTTATCACGTCAGTGGGATTGGCAATGGCACTTGATATAGCTCCAGCTAATGCTCCACATATGACATTTATTACAACTAAATCTTCAGTTGTCCATCTATTAGTCACAGCTTTTTTCAGGGAGTAATAAGTTCCAAACTTGATAGTTCCATATGTAGCTTGTCGTAAAATAGCAGGACTGATCCTAAATAACAAATAGAGGAAAAGATTAATAGTTTATATGAAATTAAGACTATTTCTAGATACGCTGTCTCTTCTCTTATATCAAAATACTCACCCAGAATATAATCCCTTTAATCCTTCTTGCTTAGATATTTGCAATAAAGCATCCGTCATGCCAGAGTATCTCAAACGTGCAAGCTTTTCATCATATTTTTGTCCTTGTACTTGCAAGCGTGTTTTTGTCGTGTCCAGAGGGAAAGTACCTATAGAATAGATAGATAAGCCAATCAAAATTTATTACTTAATTATTGTTTAATTTATGAAAAAATATTACACTTATGATTATAGATTACAATATAGATATCATACAAAGTATTGCCTAAGACAATAACAAAAACTATTATTTTTTAATAACTAATTTACCCAATTCTGCAATAATTGAAGCTAAACCTCCATATACAAAAGGTCTCCAACCTTCCGAATTTTTTTCTCCCATTATCAGTTTTGATAAGGTAAGACCAGTGATACAATTTCTTAAGAGTCACTGGTATAGAATAAAAATTAACAAATTACTGAAAAATAAAAAATATATTTTTTCCTAAAATAGATTTATCATCGAAAACCAGATTCTTATAACATAGAAAAGAATGTTGAATTGTTTCATGTTTGATTTCCTACATAAAATACATAGATTGATAGACATGGCAATAAATTCGAAATATTTTATTTATATTTGTCAGATACTAATTCCATATATTTAATAGAAAATTTGCAGTTAAATTCAATACTTTAACTAACCATGATAAGTAGTTTTTACTTATACTCTTTGTTGGACGATTTAACGATAGATTGTGCTTGATCAGGTACAATCTGCAGTGCACGTTTAAAAATTCAAAGTAGCATAAATTTATATCTTGCGCACAACTGCATTAAAAACAAATAATTATTCAAAACGCACTTAAATTGATATCGTGCAGATAAAGCGAACGCGAAATATCACGTGTATCTCGTTTCAGTGTGAAAAAAAGAATAGGTACTACGATGTCTGACGTAATACATTCAACGTCCAATAGGAGGATTTCTTTGTTAGAGATAAAATATCACTAGTCGAAGTCCCTCAGGGCTGCGTTCTAAAATTTTACTCGGTGAATAGAGTACCTCATCCGGGTGCACTCTATTAAGAGTGCTTTCCAATTGCAATATCCCTAGACACTTTCATGCACACGGCGACACGAGGAGTGCATGGTTAATGGCTCTTGCACACAGGACGCGGTAATGTTTGCCGCGCGGCGGAAGTTCGCGCAACAGCCAATCAATATGCTGCTTTCCGTAATAACCTTCTAGTTCTTACAGAAAAACAACATATTGATTGGCTGTCACGTGAACTTCCGCCGCGCGGCAAGCATTACCGCGTCCTGTGTGCAGGAGCCATAAGAACATGGACAATCCATGTTTTCAATCACGTAATTATGCGCTTAACACGGGCACGAATCGCCAGAAAATAGGCATAGAATGGACACGCAACAAATCGACATTTGTATGTACTTTACCGGAAAAAAACTCCGGTTGGAAAACTATTCTTTTAAATCATTTGTATTTTGTATAAAGAGTTTTGAAATGTAATTGAAAAAATTTGTGAGTCATTCTATTACTTGTAATTAATTGTTCTTTTTTGGACAATGTATTTAGCGGGAAATAATGATCGGAGGTAAATTAAACAAAGGTTCGGTATGGTATCATTTGTATTTCGTATGAAGAGTTATGAAATATCATTAAAAAGGTTTGTGAGTTATCCAGATAATTTTAATTAAATATTAAAAAATCATATATTTAGCCGAAATATCGATCTCAAGCGCTGCTGTGAAAGTACCGTCAGGCACGATCGGTGTACTATCTAGTATTTCAATATTCCTGGTTCATTTTCGGGTAATTATGTACAATAAGGCCTTTTTCGAATTTTTATATTTTTAATATAATTAGTTATCTTTTCAATTGCACTTCAAAACTCTTCATACGAAATATAAATGATTTAAAAGAATAGTTTTCCAACCCGAGTTTTTTTCCGGTGAAGTACACGCACCGGCGTTAATGCCGTCCGAATATCCGTGTGACTC